TTCTTATTTGAGCCTACAAGTTGCTGATTTCATACAAATGATCGACTTTGTGACATCCTATGTGCTGTTAATATATGTAAAGGAAGTCATTTGTCAAATCTTGGTGAGAAATTTGGAGACATATCCTTGAGGATATGATTATTTGGCCATATAGGCAAGGTAGTAAATATGATTATTTGATACCTGACATGAGGGTTAGCAAAAAAAAAAAAAAAAAGTCTGCTTCCAGCTTTCCTTCATGATGTTCTCTGTGGCATTACCTTAAGATGAGACTAGGAATTTGATTGAGATCGTTGTCATTTTTTTTTTTCTTTTTATATGGAGCTCTCTTGATATTAGGTTCGTTTTCGACTATCCTCTCACTGTGATTGGTTTTTGTTTTTTCAATGTCGTTTTGGTCTTGGGTTGGGTAGTGCCTCACCAGTCCTTGTATACTATTCTCTTCCACATTTTAAATGATCTGGAATTGGTGAATCAATGGTTTGGTCTATCGGAGCCGGTGGAGTGCCAGCGAAGACGCTGAGCCCCCTAGGGGTTGGATTGTGAGATCCCAACCACTCCGTAGCAGACGCCTTTTAAAACCGTGAGGTTGACGGCGATATGTAAAGGGTCAAAGCGGACAATATCTACTAGCGGTGAGCTTGAACTGTTACAGAAATGGTTAGAAGGTCCTTGTGCAAATAAACTGAAAAATGAGGAGTTTTCTTCTAGTGAGCTACACTAGCCTCCAAGTTGTCGTTCCTTAAAAGAGAGGGGAGACTCAGGGATAGGAAATCTAGAACCTATCTTTCTCAGCTGTTCTAAACAGACATGATATCGATTTCCTTCTCTTGTAGGTCTTAGATCGTGGCGAACGGATCGAGCTTCTGGTGGACAAAACAGAAAACCTCCAATTTCAGGTACATCATTGAATCCAACCGTCCATTGAGAATCATGAATGTGAACTGGGAAGTTGAAGATAAATTTAATATCCTATATCTTTCTCGTTTCATGTCGGGATCTCTGTTTTAAATGTAGGCCGATAACTTCCATCGACAAGGGAGGCAACTTCGGCGAAAAATGTGGCTGCAGAGCTTACAAATGAAGCTAATGGTTGGGGGAGGAATCTTGGTGTTGATCATCATACTCTGGTTTATTGTATGCGGTGGTTTCAAATGTTGATTTGGTAAAGTTAGTAGCAGCAAGTAAGTGTATTCAGTTGTTCATGCATGCAAGCAAACCGTTACCAAATCTATACATACATACATACATACATATAATATGCCTTTCTCACTTTCTAATTTGTAATTACCATTCTATATTACCTCTCAAAATTTATTCTTTGGGCTTGTGTATTGAAGAATCTATGTTTATATGCTCAATTTGGCTTGCATTTGCTTAAATTTTAACATGCGATTATGCGTTCTTTCGTGTTATTATGTGTCTTCTGAACCAATTCTCGGTTGAAATGGTCTGGTTGAAAGGAGCGTTTGATTACCATTTAGTTTTTAAAAGTTGTACTTGTTCTTGTATGTTATTTTCGATGATCTTCATTTTTCTATATAAACGTTTAAGTTATTAGCTAAATTTCAAAACAAAAATAAGTTTTAAAAGCAATTTTTTTTATAGTTTCGAAACGCTTGGATTTCGAAAATACCCATTGAAAAATGATATTTTAATCATTGATAGTTTTATTATATGTAATTATGTATTGCTTTGTTTGTATGACCTCCTTTTATGTAAGAAAAAAAAAATTAATAAACTTTTCCATTTCACATAAAAATAACCAAATAGCTCTCTTTCACAATTAAAGAAAAATATGCAACACTAAAAAATGAATTTCATGAATTTTGAGCATGGAATTTATTTCATCACTAAATTAAAAAAATAATAATAATTGCATTGTATTTGCTTTGCTCGTCTCAAATCATTTCATTGGCCAACTTTGACCCAGGTTATTTTGAGATCATATCTAGTCTTTAGTATTGCTTCAATTTGGTACGGTTCTATTTTAAGATCATATCTAGTCTTTAGAATTGCCTCAATTTGGTACTGTTCTTGCAGCCTGCACCGAAACAGTGCTTTATCCCTAAATATCTAGTCAACTCGTATTTTGGGGAGAACCAACTAGCTCTAGGTTTGAGTGGCACTTCACCCTTAACCACGACTCAAAGCTAGTATCAATTTATTGCATAACGAGTTGAGTTTCTACTTCCATGAAAGTTTATAAATAGCTCTCACACAGAATACCTTGGCTCAAAGCCATTCAAGAACAACCCCCAAAGGTCCTAACGAATTCTTCTTTATTTTACCTACCTCAACAAATAACTTGGACTCGAACAAACTGAACACATCAAGCACCCTTCTCGTCGTTCATCTTGATCCGAGACAACAAAAAAAAAAAAAAAAAAAAAAA